CTAAGGCACTTGACTGCTAACCAGAAGGCTGGCTGTTCAAACCCACCAGCCACTCCTCGGAAGGAAGGTTGGGCAATCTACTTCCGTAGTGACACTGCCTAGGAAACCCAAGAAGGGGTCTCTCTGAGTCGGGTCCTACTCAACAGCACATAACAACAACAACAACAGCCTTGTCAAAATCTCTCAACAGCTTCCCAATGCCCTCAGGGTAATGTCTGAACTTCCAAGTCTCACTATGGACTACTCCTAGGATTAGCTCAAAATATACCCATTGCCCCCACACCTCAGCACACACCTAACACATGCACATCCTTAATGCCGTCCTAAAACAAGGAACTTTTGGAATAAGATGCTTTGCATCATGCCCTGCATATGGTAAATTCTCAATCTACAGGAGTAGCTATTACTGCTATTGTGTTGTTGTTACAACTACTACTAGAACTAGAAGGTAGCAGAGCCAAGATTGAACTGAGGTCTCTGAGTCCAGTGGTCTTTCCTCACACAACTTCTTTGAACATTGTTGGTACACAGTTTATAACGTCAGAATAGAATCTTTGATTCAACCCTCCTTGCCCTCCTTTGAATACTCTTTTGGAGTGATGTGGCCCAGGGATTTTGGTGACCATGAGACAGAATGGTTTTCCCTCTAAACAGACATGTGTATATCAGCATCAGAAGTGTAGAGGTAGAAGCTGCCTTTGACATCATCTCCTCCAAGCCAATGAGTAAATAATTTCTACAGCAGGAAGAAAGGTGATCTACTTTTGAAAATTAGTCAACGAAAACCTTATGGATAACAACAGAACATTGTCTGATATAGTGCTGGAAGATGAGACCTTCATATTGAAAGACACTCAAAATATGACTGGAGAAGATGTTCATCTTCAAAGCAGAGTTCACCTTAATGGCATGGAAGGAGTAAAGCTCTTGGGACAGTCATTTACTGATATGGCAGGGCTAAAAATAAGAACTAACTGCTTCAAACACCCATTAGTATTTAGGACATGGAATGTAATAAGAATGAACGAAATAAAATTGGAAGTT